GTCTTTATTTTTTTTGTCTGGCGCAGGTAACCAAGAATTTCCCCTTCCCTAATTTTGTCGTAGAAAGGGAAATGACATTTCGGCGGGATATTTTACCGCCGTCAACCCAACGCTTTCATATCCCTGCAGCATCCGCCGGTGGGCCTGGGCGGCGAGGGAGGTGGCGTGAAGCAGCGCGCACGGGAGGGTGTGCTGGGTGTGCTGGCCTGCGTGGCCGTGTCCAGAGGGAGAGGCTGGAGGCTTCCTTTTGGCACATTTAATGACCCAACCCGTCTTGAAGTGCAGAAAAGGACGTTTCTATAGGACAATACTGGTTTTCATAAATCTGTTGTATGTGGTTATCTGGAGACTTCTCAATTTAGCTACTGTGCGCATTGATTAAGTCACCAGCTGTCCCACTCGGCAGCTCTTTGACCTCATCTTTTGCTCTAGAAACAGTTGTGTGTTCTCCTGTGTGTCGCCTGACAGCTGTAAGGATCCCTTAAACCGCAGTGCCCCAAGACCTGGGACACTACTCCACCAGTGTCATGTCATGCATAGACAACTTCACGACGGTTAACAAAGCATATCTACGCTGTTTTATAAGACTTTGCTAATAGCCCTGTTGTTTCCAGACATTTTATTATGTTTAGAATCTGGGTGGTACATCTCATCACTGCTTTTCTTGCTCTTAAATGCAGAGCAAATGGAGGTTTTGTCCTGGTGAAGATAATCTGGAGCCCACTGGACCATTAATGATTCAGGCTTCTTTTGTTTAAACCCAGGCCTTACCATGAAGGCAAGTTCTAAAATTATTGCATCACCTAGATTTTGAAAAGGCTAGGTTAGCCTCTTATATTTAACTTAAAAATTTACTCCTCACTATAAAATAGGTTACTAGATTAGTGTAGAAGGAAGTGAACGTGGTATTAATAGACTGGTGTTAGCCGCTCCAGTATGTGCTTACAGTAGTGCACGAAAAGGAACTAAGTAAGAATTACTGTTCTTATCATGAAGACATAGACTGCAAATAAATATATGTTAAAATATGTTTTAAAATGTCATTTCTGACAGGAACTTCCATAGGTGGTGTGGGGATGGGCATTTTCCTTTAGCAGCCCCCTGTCCTGAGGAAGCTGCCATCTCGTCTTCAAAAGCAGCAAAGTTTATCTCAAAAGTCCACCTATACATGCTAAAGAATCTTTGTTTTCATTGGGGAGGGAGAGGGAGCAATACAGGCTCTAGCAAATGTTAATGTCTGTCTGTGTTCTGTAGTTAAATCCACCAACTTACAGCATAGAATCATAGAAGAACCCAGGTTGGAAGGGACCTCGAAAGCTCATCTGGTCCAAACTTCGATGGGAAAGGAAGCCTAGATGACACTATCCAGCACTCTGTTCAGTCGCATCTTGGAAACCTCCAGCGATGGGGACTATACCATGTCCCTGGGGATGTTGTTCCAGTAAATGGTTGTTCTTACTGTAAAAAATTTCTTACGTTGAGGTGAAAGATGGAGAAACCATTATCAGAAGGAGGCTGGTTCATTCTCCCAGTATCGTGAAGCCTTGATTGTCTAGAGGATTTGTCTCTGAGAATAATGCTCTTGTGTGCCACAGGCCCACTGCTGCCTCACATTTGGTTTGCCTCCACCCAGCCTTAGTTCCCTAATGTAGGAGAGTCACTACAGCTAAAGAAAACCCTTCTAGAATGAATTCTTGAAGGACTACTATTTAACATTTGAAAGCAAATGGAATTTGAGTCAAAACAATAGTTGTCTCAGACTATAAAAGCCTGGAAATCTGCTAGGTCCTATTTGTGAATTTGCTGAGTTTGCAGTGTATCCCAAAACGCTAATTACTGTCATCAGAGCTGATCCAGTTCATTTATTTTGCCACAAGCTGTCTGTTTCTTATATAAGCTACCAGATAATGGAATCATAGAATCGTTTAGGTTGGAAAAGACCTTTAAGATCATCCAGTCCAACCATTAACCTACACTACCAAGTCCACAGTAAACCAGTCAAGGGTAGACTAGACTAAACCATGTCCCAGAGTTCCACGTCTACCTGTTTTTTGAACACTTCTAGGGATGCTGACTCCACCACCTCTCTGGGCAGCCTGTTCCAATGCTTGACTACCCTTTCCGTGAAGAAATTTTTCCTAATATCCAACCTAAACCTCCCCTGGCGCAGCTTGAGCCCATAAGAAGTACTACAGAAAATGAAAGTCTTGACATCCATGGACTTCAGGTCAAACCCATATACTACTTGGATTCTCCGGTAGCATTATGATAGCTTTTGTAAGAATTACCTTACTCAGGTAGACCTTTTCCCATCCTCCAATTTTTCTGAAAGAAATGAGACCAATCATAAGACTTTAAAATACATTTTTTAATACATTTTTCAAAAATATTAGTGTATTTACACAAATGTCTCATTTTTAAAATATTTTGTACTTGCCTATTTTAAAACATCTAGTTTAAAAAAGTTCAGCCAGATGACTACATTACACAAATTTGAAAGAACATTTACTGAAGGTATAAGCAATTAAAAAAATAGAAAAAAGAAACACATACCATTGCATTAATAGTAAGTGAGTGCACATTTTTAAGTTGATAGCTTCCAGAAATTGTTCTTCCCATAAAAATTTATTAGTCTGTGTCAGTAATTTGTACCCACTTTTACACTGGAATTTGCATTTCCTTTTTCTTCACAGAACCCCCCACCCCCCTTTTGCTTATACAAAGGTTGCAATAAAATGCATTACAGTAGTATTTCATTTACAAACAAATGACGTTAAAACTTGTTTCTTAACCCATTGGATTGTATTTCAGTAAAACAATGTCCTTTCATGGAGGTGCAACAGAGATTCCAAGAGCTGGATGTGGAGGATGACCTCTCTCTCGAAGCAGTCCTGCCTGGAAAGGGTGACTTGAATTGCTGCATGATGCTGTGTCGATTCCTCTTGGGAGGCATCTCATCTTCGGGTGTGGCAATTAGGATAGCACATTAAACATTGTATTTAGTAAAAATAAATACAAATAAATTAAAAAAAATTATGCAAGAAAATTATTTTCTTCTTGATATTGCTTAGAGGAAAGCTTAGCAATGAAGCTTGTGGCAATATCTAGATTATACATGAATGGCAGGTCCATTTATTTCAGTAGTACTCTCTGAGCAAGGAAAAAACAGCTATCAACATGGCTGTAATTCTGGAGAAAGATAGTAGTGATCTTCTTTCAAACTTTGTTAGGAAGCCATTTTCCTGTGGAAAAGAACATGCACAGTTAGGGACAGCTTAAAAATAACTTGTAGGAAAAGTACACCACTGTGCTAGTGTTGGATTAACAAGAGCACTACACTATTGTGCATAGAGGGACGGGTTTTCAGAGCTCTCCCTCCAAAAGATGAATAGGGCTTTAAAAACAGTAGCTGAAAATAGCTGCACCTTGCTGAATGTTTGTTTTATCTCCAAGTCAAAACTCTGCCCTCCCTGTGTAAATAAAAACGAATGCGAACTGTATCATCTGAGTCCACATCTTGAAGGAAGATACAAGTACTGTTTCTGATGTAGTAAGACACTTACAAATATATTCCTTTAAGCCTCCTTATTCTACTATGATGAGCCACGTATTATGACAGAATGTTGCCAGGAGTTGATACTTTTCTTAAATAAAATTGACTCTATTTGAAAGAGATGGAGAGAGAAGCCTTTACAATAAATCTGATGCATCAAGTGTCCATGACTCACTATCACCTTTTTTTACTGTTACCAGACAGAGAAGGATCAAAACAAGCAAAAAGAGAAAAAAGGGAAAGAAAGACACTAGAAACCAAGTGAGGGAAAACAGTAATAGCAAATAGGAAATATAAGAGAAGTGGGACGAGAGAGGGATGGAAAGAGAAAGTAACATTTACGTACAGGTGAAGGAAAAAAGTACGAGGGAAATAACTAGCTCTGATGTCATTGATTCTCAGCTTCCCCTAACGGCAAAAGAAAAAGGTATTGGTGTGATGAAACTCTGCAAAGCAAAAGGGACCTCCCCTCTACGGGCAGAAGGGAATTTCAGCAGCCTGGCAAAATAATCCGCATATTGACAAATGCTTTTCTCAGCATTGACCATTGATGTATGGAAGTTCTAGGATTATCTCAGTTCAAACTCAGACAGAAAAGATTTAACCCCAACTGCACTTACCTGTGAATTTGTTAAAGTAAAACTGATTTGGGGGATTAAACACTGCCTTTGTTGAAGCTGTGGTTTGCTCCTGTACAGTACTGACTTCAGCTGTGAGGATCACACCTGTGTATTTTTCCCTTTACTTTGAACTTCAGTATTTTGGGACCAGCTCCTCTGTGGAAGCAAAATTGCTGCACTAACCTTAGGATGCCACTTAATTTTAGATTTAATGAAGGGAAATTTAATGGCGTGCTTAGTTTAACCTGCTTTGAGCAGGAGGCTGGACCAGATGATTTCCTAAGGTCCCTGCATTTTTGTATGATCCTATGATTCAAGACTAACTCCAGGGTTTTGACTGTTACAGGTACAGAAAGTGCCTTTTAATGAAGAAAGTTGTCTTTTAGCATTGTTCTGTTTAAAGCAGAAGAAAAACTTTCACTGTAAGTCTCAAGGAGGCATTCCAGACATCAGGTATTAAAGCACCAAATAAAACACTGAATAAAATTATTTTGACAGTGTCTGAAAAAATACTTTTCCTTAATTAAAGAAAATTTTCTAATCTAGACTTTGGTGGAAAATGAGAAACTTACCCAGCCACCGTTCGCATCTATCCATTCAGCTTTGTTATTTATTATGTACTCTGTGATGAAATAAGAAATCTGCTCCTTCTCCTCTCCAGTCAGCTGAACACCATGCTCTTGAAGCTTCTTAGTGAGAAGACCTCCAAATGTAAATATGGTCATAATTCGTCCCCAGTTAGTATTTCCATCAGCAAATTTTTCTTCCATGACCCCATTGAAAATTCTCTTCGCAACAGCTACAGAGGTAATATCAATCCTGTCCAAAAATGGTCTGAGAGCCTCCTCAGTTTGATCTTGCAGTGAAGATGCAATGTTTCGCAAGACATGAGCAACCCTGGTTTGGGCTGGTCCGAGATGTGATTCATGAAGCACATATTGCAGATAATCTTGAGCTAAGTAATAAACGTAATAGAACTCAGCAGTTTCCATTTAGAAAGAAACTGCAGAGAGCAGTGCACCGCTCTTAATCAGGGTCAGTAATGAGCAGCCACAGGACATGCACACAGTTTTGTATCGCCTGTTTTTGATGGAATTTTTTTGGTTTTACCACAGAAGTTCCTGTAAAAACCTAGTGACTTAATAAGTGTGTGGGTTGTGGAATATGTCACAGCGGAAATGAAAACGCGACTGCTCAAGGGGAGAAAACATGTCTTCTTGAGTGGTTTATTATTTCTCTAAATAGTATGATTCCACGACTAAAATCTACCAGCTTTTACCACATTCTTTAGCAGCATAAATTGGCATTTCCTAGGGACTTTTGCTATGAAACACTAGCAAAGATTTGGCATTTGGCTTACAAACTGCTGAGAATGGTGTATGCTAGCAAAGGTCCGGCATTTGGCTTGAAAAAACATGCCTGAAGAGGAGCATGCAGCCCCCATCACCACCTCCATCTTCCCCCACCCCAATCTCCTCATTGCCAGGGGTTAAGGCTGCAGTCTGTATTGCAGGTTAATGGGTTATTTCTGGTTCACAAATTTTGAAGAAACTGGTAGACGTTTCCAACAGGATGAAAGAATGGATAAACTTTCTTCAGCACTCAGGAAACTTTACATAACCGCAAAAAGTGGGAACAAAACAGTGGTACAAGTGTGGATGGAGAAAGGGAAAGCCAGAGTTACAGCATTATCCCCTGTTCCAGACTTTCCCACACTCTCTCTGTGAGGGCTCTTCAAGGTCCTGCTTTGAAGATTTGAATGGGTAGCTTCAAAGATTTCTTTCCCCCACAGGGAGTTCTGCTGTAAAAGACATTATTAGTATAAAAGACAATGCTAATGCAGTCAGCATGTCATAACATGGGATGGAGAATATGGGGCCAAGCTAGTGATGTGTGATACCATCTGAATCTTTCATGACAGGTAACAACAACTGCTCTTAGATTCAAATTTTTGGTCAAGCAATTATTTTTTGGGAGAAGGGGCAGGGGTGCCTAGCCCGCTCTTTCCTTACAAACCTCTTCTCCTGAGGCAACCTGATCTTGCTAGAGGGTCAGGACGTGTCTGTAGAGAACCTCACCCCACTGCAAAGGCAATTTGAGCAGCAAGCAATTTGATGTTTGGAGACCCCTCTCTTTCTCCATCCCTTTCCTCATCCCTTTGCTTCTGACCCACCTCTCATTCACGTTTCTTCCTTCTCTGAAAGCAAAAGGCATTCGCAGACCCACACACCAACAGCTCTTCTTTGCTCCAGGGATGGCAGTGAGCCTGTTCCAGTCCTGGGCACACTCTGATGCTCAGGCCTATGGAAGATGAGCAAAGCTGCATGCCTGGTGGCCAGCACAGGGCTCGAGTCCCACATGTCAGGATAGCATGGAACCTAATCATGCTGCAGCAAAGCTATCTAGACTGTGATACAGCTCTGGCGTCAGTATATTGCTAACCCTAGCTAGTCCCCCAAAATGTGTATGCTGCTGCTCTGACATCACAGTTTTGCAGAAACCCATTGAGTAGAACAGGGTAGTTTCCAGTTTCTTCTCAGTTTTTTTCTTCTGTATATGGTGAGTCTGGCTCAGAATGACACAGTAATCTCCCATGCACAGCAGGGTTTGAAACCTCAAGCTATCACCAGTATAGCACAGACATCAATCACTTCAGTGATTCAGGAAAATATTTCCCTCACTTTCTCTTGGAAGCAAAAAAAGAGGTAGCTTGGTGCTGTGTTCACCTTTGGGAGAGAATGGGTTTAGGAGGGCAGCGTGAGCTGGAAAAACTCTCATGTTAGATATTGCCCCCAGGGAAGGATGGGGTGCTAGGATTGGGAATGGACTGGGGGTGGGAAGCTAGCTCTCCCCTCCTCCATACACACGCACATTCTTACCAAAGCTCATTTTGAAAGTTCAGAGGTGTCCTCTATCCAATACCTGCAGCTGCTGCTTTGGCAGAGCTGTTAGGCTGGCTTTGCCTTTGTTATGTTCAGTTGATTTCAGCAAACTGCCAACATGTTATAAGGAATGCAGATGAGGGGAAAAAAAAAAAAAAAAAAAAAAAGATGTGACAGTCCTTAACTCTTCCCAACTCAGCTAAATCTGGGCAGAAATTTCTGGGGCAGAGGGAAGGTGTTGCTCCACCGAGACAGCTTCCCTCCTGTCAGATGCTTGCTGCAAACAGGGCTGAGAGAGGTACTTGAGGAAAAATCACAAGAATCCTTTTTCTGTATGGCACTGTCTGTGAAGTTATAGATCACTTGTGACTCTCTTAATAATTGATTAATGAAAAGATTTTTGTATTCTTTGTGAATATAAGTAATGGCTGAATACGAGAACAGTGAACAACACCTAAGGAGACAGGTTTTGGTTTCTTCACCATCAACAGCAGCAGAGCACAGGCAGAAGCAGATATTTCTTCATTAGTGCAGCGTTTAGGATTCTGAGGAGGGTGATGAAATAAGGCTATGAATATGTCACCATTATTGAAAGAAATCAGTGTTAATACCTTGGGAATTTTGGTGCAAATGCTGCCACTTACAGTCTCTTGATCTCTTAAAGGGCTGTGAGGTGAAGCTGAGCGCTCAGCTCCCAGAAGGGGGTGGCAGCTCTGAGCAGACATCTCTAGCAGCAAGCTGTGACACCGGTGACCAGAGCTCAGGATGTAGCTGTTGAAGCTGCCCCAGGTCCATCGATTTCAATGTTAGACACATTTGCTTTTCAATAGCATGTAGTGGAGGGTGCAATTCCAAGTGTTGGACGTTTAGTAGCAATGGCAGTATTATATATCTATATACACAGATAACGAGTCAGACCAGAGCGCACAGCCCAATCTTCCCCAGCTCTAGCAGTCAACTCAGCACTGTAAGAAATCAGCTTTGGGGTCTCTTAGCTGTGTCGTGCCACTCTAGTGTTCTGATTCTCGCTTTCTACGTTAGGCAGTGCCTTCCTTTCTCCTACCAGTCTTTATTCACATTTTATCGTTATAAGTGGATACTTTTAACTTAATGAATCTCTGCTTTTCTTCCTACCTGCTCTATCTCCCCAGTGCTGCACAGACTGCATCCTTATACAGTGCATTGCTGCTTCTTTTCCTCTTTGCTGGATATACTTTGTCTGTTATAAATGATAAGTGTTAATAAAAGGCTTGAAACAGAAACCGGCTTGACATGGAAGCTCAAATGCAAACCCTTCCCTCACTACCTGGCATAGCAAGGGGCTTCAAATACTTTAAACCTGTGCTCTGTGGATTTGACTCCACATCCTACCCTAACCTGAAAAAGCTTATTTCCTGGAACAGATGGGAACTGAGTTGACAGATCCTCATAAAAGTGGCTTGTGAGAGACGATGTTATCATGTTCGAGAAAAAACTAAGCCAAAATGACAAAAGCTTCCTTGAGCTATTTGTGCTGCATCTGCCTTGCCAGTTATTCCAGTTCCAGGTGAATGTGGGAACTGTGAGCTCTTCTAAGGCAGCTGAGCTTTGTCTGGAGGAACAGTCTGAGGCCTTGAGAAAATTCTTAGAGAATTTTTTCTGGTTTTCTTCCCTTTTTGATGTCCAAACCAGGATGATTTTTGCGTGGTATTGGATTTCATTGCAAAAGAACGGCTGCGTTCACTTGTAGCTTTCCAGCTGCCCTGCACAGCCCTGATATAAGACTTGAGGAGGCTTTGGTGACTTTTATTTACCTTCTATTTCGCTATAAATCGGAACCTGCAGGCTGGCTTTTGTGCGAGCTGGAACGGGTAGTTGGTGTTAGAGGCAGAGGCAGGTTTGCCCAGTGGAGTGCTGCCACCTAGTCGCAGCCGGCCTGGCTGCACGCAGAGGCAGGAGCCCGGCACAGGAGAAATGCCTGTTACCTCCCTGGATCTCGAATACACCTTCAAGTCTTCTGTGCTTTGAGATTCTATATGCAGAAAAAAAACCCTAAAATACAATAGCATTGGGACTCATCCCCGGTAATGATCTAAATCAATAAATGATATTGTATTTTTTCCGAAGAATTCTGTCAGCTGGGAAGCACCAAAGTCTTCAGTCCAAAGCTTGGAAAGGTCATCTCCATAAGAAGTTTTGGGAGCAGTTCATTCTAAAACACTTCAGCCCATCTCCTAATGTTTCTAGGATGGAGACAGAAGAGGAAATATCTGTAGCAAGATCCCGGATCTCAAATTCTGTGGCAACTGCAGGAGAGACTTAGAGCCAGCTTACATTCTGTGTATCTCAGGAGATGCACATGTAGCACAGAAGACAAGCTCCAGGAAGGATAGGAGGATGTAGCTGGTTTTTGTATCTTCTCGGCCAACTGAGAGATTCTGGGCCAACTGGAAAGCCAAAGTAGTCCCGCACGTAAACTAAAGCAAGTAGCTGCTCCAGCTTACTGTTGAGCTGTGGTACAGTCCAGAATGTCTGAGGGCTGACCAATATGGCATAAGCTCTCTCCTGCTCCCAAAATAGCACAGAGCAAAGGCTGGGAGGATGGATCATATGAAGATGCACACTGTGGCTCTCCGTTGCTCAAGCATGAGAAGAATTCTCTGAGAGGACATTCTGCTTCCCTTATGACTCCTCTGTAGCACTGCAGTGACATAAAGGGAACTATAGGAAGGGCTAGGTGTGGCTGTGCTACTCAGGGTTCAGCTGCTGCCTCATCACTTCCTCTGGTAACTCAACTCAGAACTTGGCTTCTTCTGGATCCCAGCTTCTTTCATCATCATGAGTCAAGGGGGCAGCCAAACACACTGCTCCACTATGCACGTGCCATGTGCCACCATATGCTTGTGTGTAGACACATGTTCTACATTCTCATAAGCCTTTTCAAATGTTTACCTAGGATTAGGAGAATTTGAACAAATCGTTGTCAGCAGTGAGCCACAGAAACGTAAGGCTCCCTAAGCTTCCCAGACAATGGAGCATGAACAAGTCTTGGTAGAAGCTTAGCAAGATCTTGCAGATGCCAGCAGAAACAGTCTGCTGAAGCCAGCTTGATTCCTGAAAATACTTGCTCCCAGAAGGGCGGAAGGGGGAAAGGTCTGCTTGTGAGTATTCATGAAATAAGAAGTCAAGAGCTCATGGCTCAATATCATAACC